AAAATGTTTAACCATATTTGTCTCATTGATCATGGTTCTGGCCATTTCTTGCAATGTTCTATTCTTTCATTCTACAACTCCATTCTGTTGAGGAGTTCTAAGACAAGAGAAATCATGTGCTATGCCATTTTCTTTAAAATATTTTTCAAAAGATTTATTTTCATATTCACCATCATGATCACTTCTGACTTTGACAATATTAAACTTCCTTTCATTTTGAACTTGATTGCAGAAATTAAAGAATACAGAGTGAGACTCATCCTTGTGCTTTAGGAATTTTACCCATGTCCATCTGTTGTAGTCATCAACGACGACAAGCCCATACTTCTTGCCTCTGATGGATTCATTTTTCACTGGTCCAAACAGATCAATGTGCAGAAGCTCTAATGGTCTAGAAGTAGAAACAACATTCTTTGGTTTGAAAGTGGATTTTAAAAATTTGTCTTTCTGACATGCTTCATAAAGAGCATCTGAGTTGAACTTCAGCTTAGGAAGTCCTCTAACCAGATTGAGCTTGTTAATCTGAGATTAACGTCTCATGCTAACATGTCCCAATCTTCTATGTCAAACCCATTGCTCATCATTAACAGACATAAGACATTTAACATTTTGATTTTTCAATTCTTAAAATTTTATTTTATAAATGTTGTTCTTTCTTTTACCATTAAAGAGTATTGATCCATCTTTCTGACTAACAGTTTTGCAACATTTTTTATTAAAGATAATATCATAACCATTGTCACTTAATTGACTTATGGACAACAAGTTATGAGTTAATCCTTCTACAAGCAGAACATTTGAGATAGAAGGGAGGTTACCATTACCAATTGTTCCAGAGCCAATGATCTTTCCCTTTTGGTTTCCTCCAAACTTCACGTCTCCACCAGATCTAAGATACAAACTTTGGAACATAGACCTTCTTCCCGTCATGTGTCGTGAGCATCCAGAGTCCAGATACCAGGACTAGTGTCTCAACCTTGCTGTTAAGGACATCTCTTCTGAATCTGATTCTAATATAGATTCAAATGATTCTTCATGCTCCTCTATGTCAGCCATTAGTGCAACGTTTTCACATTCGTCTTCAGACTCTAACGAGACTTCAGAAGAATCTGAGTCATCCCAAGTAGCCATCAGAACTTTCTTTTTCTTCTTAAACTTCTTCTTGGGTTTATCCTTCTGAAGTTTGAGACAATCATTCTTGTAGTGTCCTAGCTCTTTGCATTCATAGCACACTACTTCCTTTTTGCTAGATCTTCTGTGACCAGAGGATTCTCCACGGTGTTCTGGTCTTTTGAATTTTCTGAACTTCTTTTGCTTGTGCTTCCAGAGTTGATTTATTCTTCTAGATAGTAAAGATAGTTCGTCTTCATCTGATGAAGAATCTCCAAAGCTTTCTTCTAGTACCTGAAAAGCTTTAGTTTCATATTTTTTGTTAGATTTTAAAGCTATGGACTTACTTTTCTTCTGAGGCTCATTTTCTTCAAGCTCTATCTCATGGCTTCTTAAAGAACTGATGAGTTCCTCCAGAGTAATTATGTTCAGATCTTTTGAGAGCTTTAACGTTGTGACCATAGGTCTTCACCTCTTTGGTAAACTTTTGACTATCTTCTTTACATGATCAGAAGTGGAGTAGCCTTTGTCAATAACCTTCAATCCAACAGTCAGAATTTGGAATCTAGAAAACATGGTTTCCACAGATTCATCTTCCTCCATCTTGAAGGCTCCATACTTTTGAATCAGCGCTAGAGCCTTTGTTTCTTTCACCTGCGTGTTTCCCTCGTGCGTTATCTTCAAGGACTCAAACATGTCATGCGTTGTATCTCTATTGGTGATTTTCTCATACTCAGTATGAGATATAGCGTTCAGCAGAATTGTCCTAGCCTTGTGGTAATTTCTGAAGTCTTTCTTTTGTTGATCAGTCATTGATTTTCTATCAATCTTTTTACCTTCACCATTAATGGGGTGAGTGTATCCATCAATGACTATATCCCAGAGATCAGCATCATAGCCAAGAAAGAAGCTTTCAATTTTGTCCTTCCAGTAATCAAATTTTTCTCCATCAAACATAGGAGGCTTTGTGTTGATTCTGTCTTTCTCTTCATATTTGTTGTTCAACCCAGCGTTGTTTGAAGATTCAGCCATAATAAATCAAAGAGTTTTCCAAACAGATCTTTTATCTGTCACTGTTAGGTGATAACACTCAGAACCGTGCTCTGATGCCAACTGAAGGTAAGGAAAACGCTTAGAAGGAAGGTTGAATAAGGATTTTGAAAACAAATAAGTTAATAAAAATAACAAGGATTTTTATACTGGTTCGTTTGAACTCAAACTATTCCAGTCCACCCGGCCAAGGTGATTTTGCCTCTCTCAAACGAGGACTTAATCCAATAATCAAAAACCGATTACAATGTTATCACTAAGACAAACTTGTCTTAGTCTTCTCAAGAATACTGACCACAACTTGATCTCTCAAGAAACTATTACAAAGTAATAATAAAATGTGTTTAAGTGCTTCTAGAATAAGCTATTTCACAACGGTGATTTTACACAAATTAAAGAACAATGAAACTTTCTATTTTCTTTTCAGCAAAAGTTGTATGTACGTTGTTGAATGATGCTTTCACTTTTTAGAATAATGTACAGTCTTAGTTGTTGTAACTTTGAATTGTTGTTGAAGACTTCTTTAAATACTTCACATTTCTCAAATAGCGTGCATAGCCTTTTTGTCTTCTTTGACTGTTCGTTTCCAGAAGAGGAATGTTTAGAGATATCATTTTTGTTCTGACATTATGTTTCATACACAAAAGAGGAATAGTGACGTTGGATGTAGGAATAGTGTCGTTGGAATAGGCAACGAGTCTTTCTTGAACAACATCTTTTGAATTGAACGAATATGGAAATAATTCTGCATCAGATCCTCTGATGATGTTCCATTTTCTTTTTATCAGAGTAACTCTCTTCCAGAGTTCTGCAGCTTAGTGTTAGCGTGATTGTTTGAACAAATTGTTCATCCAGAGGAACACTTCAGATCAGAGCAGATCTTCCTTATGTGATATCCAAATATATCAGAGCTTGGTGACTAACGTTTCAGAGCCTTACTTGATTTGATTCTCAGAGCCTCTACAGTTGCAACGTTGAGTTTAGTACGCTCAAAGTTTTCTGTAGCTTCGCTTTTCACCAAACGCTCAGAGTCTTCTGTAGCTTCGTTTTTCACCAAACGCTCAGAGTTTTCTGCAGCTGTAACTTAACGTTCAGAGGAATCTGTAGCTTAATGTTCAGAGAAATATTTATTCTGAAACGAAAAATACTTGAACAAAATTAGAGTATATATTTTCTCTATACAAAATTTCATTATTGTTATCATCAAAACATTGAGATATATTAAGAACCAATTTGTGTTCTAACAGTTCACACATTTAAAACTAGTACAAGATGCATTAAAAGTTTGGAAGAAGAAACTCTTACTAATTCTTTCAATTTTTTCATGCACACACAAAAATGGGAAAAAACTTCCACAAATATTACAACAAAATAAATACAAAAACAACACTAATACCAAACAAAGAAACAAACAAAAATGCAATCATTTTGTTAAAGCTAAAAGATTTTAAAGGAGTGCTCACAAAAATCATAAAACATTCAAATGCAAAAATACCACGTAGAAAAGTAAATATAAAATTTTGTAAAAAAAAAATTCCACGTAGAAAAGTAAATATAAAATTTTGTAAAAAAAACACTCTACAAAATGAATATCTCAAAAAAGAATATAGACATTAACACGAAATGTAGTTTATGGTGATTTAAATGCGTTAACAATAATAAAAAAAAAGATTATGTAAACGATACTAATGCAGAAAGATGTACATGCATAAGCAAAATTCTCAAAATCAAAAACTTTAATACCATGCAAAAAAAATTATAATTTATTTTAAATTTGATTCACACTATAATAATAATTTATTTAATAAAAATATATAAACTTGACAAACATTGTTTAATAGACTCATTCAATAAAGTAAGTTAAAGATAAATAATTAAAATTAAAAATAAAATAAAATTAATATTTATAATCTATTATTTACATGTTATTTTGATATATGGTCACCCAAACAGAATTTTCTCTTTGTTTTGCTGTAGCTTTGATGAACAGAACACATGGACAGTTTAACAACATATCTGATAATATGTATTTTTCATTTTAGGACATATTTTAGTGTGAAAAGAATGCATCCGAAAATATACTTAGGCTTTAGAATTTCCTAAAGTGTTTTTACACACTTAGGATAGGATAACCAACTCCCTTTTTTATTCATTGGATAGATTAAACAAAATAGGGGGGGCATACATATTTAGGTGCCACATACTATAAGTCTTCCCAAAGTTCAGGTATCGGCAAAGGGAAAATAAACTTTCGGCCACCAAGAACATATTTTAGAGTAAGCAACTACTTTCCTCCATAAAGATTCCTCAAAACCGAAGAGTCTTTTAACACAATAATGAAGCACTCACTTACCACCCCAAGTCTTCAAAAAGCATTTAGTATAAACTAGATGAAGACCTCTTGAAAATTGAACATTGCCCATCCTCAAATCTCTGAAGACATGACCTTTTTATCACACAGAAATTTTAAGCGGCATCAATATTTAATTGCGTGTTACCAAAGAAAGAGAAAGAAGAGACAAAACTGCGGCAAGAATAAGAAAAAATGATACGGTGCACACAAAGTTAGCTGGCAAAGAGAGAAGAATTTCTCAATGAAAATGGGACAGAGGACCCACAGAGAAACTGCAATTTCACTTATTCATTTACCATTTAAATATATTTCTTAATACAGCAAGCATCCCCCCTCCACTAAATTACATTAGCGTGATACATGATATATATTCAAATATCCTGTCCCAGAATGTTACAAACAACATTTAATTTAATATACAATACTAAACACTTACAAACATTTCTGATCAAACATCTGATCAATCAGATTGTAAGATTCTAGATTTCTATTGCCATGAGGAATGTTTGGTGTGACCATCCCACCCACCATCAGGCTCCTTCCTCTTAAGGACACTACCAGCCAGATGGATCCTTGCATGCTCCTCGGCTAGGACCTGCAAACTGGCAACAGAGAGTTGCCTTGATCCAAGAGGTGAGATTTCATCTCTCCCCTCTATGTCTAAACCTCCAGGTCCAGCATTAAGATCTAAGCCCTGTTTTGCCCATTTCCTACTAATCTCAACACTAGTACTACTGCTACCTTCTGGAAGGCCAACAGCATAAGGCCTGGGATAATGGGATGAAACTGTACTGGCAGGCCCCATTATCTGTGAATTTACCGCAGGGAAGCAAGGTCGACTGCCTGATGTTGGATACACAAAGGTAGTTGATCCAGCAGAAAATGACGATGATGGAAGAGGAAAGCTGGAATTAAAAGGGAAAACAGGGTATTCAAATGGAGCAGATGGATATGCCATTGCTCGAGAAGATGACAATACTGGCCCCCTATAAATATCAGTTCCAAATGGGTTGCCACTAGTGGCAGGACTCAACAATCTTTGTGATCCATTAGGGGCAACAATTGAAAAGGGCTGATCCCCTCTATCAGGCATGATTGAAGATATCGTGACAGCAGAATAGGTGTTGCCACTGGAAGGAAGCCATGAAGAAAAGTTACCTAGCTCGGCAGTACTCATCCTTAGTCCAGAAACAGATGGTTGCGCTAGCACACTGCTCCTGGCATGCTGAGAGAGCAGCAATGGTTCAGTGGTGATTTCATCAACTGAAGGTCCATTATTCAAATCAAAGTCCCTGTGGGCACTCACTTCTCTATTTGAACGGCCACTCAATGATGTTTTCACCTGCATTAGAGGTACATCTATCTTATAACTACTGCTTGCGGAACAATTACCGATATCAGAAGCTTCATCCATTAGGTTTAAGTCAAGTCCAAGACCACCAGAACACCGAATAGGTGAGGCCATCTTACTGCATACTGGATTGTAATCATTGGCTTCAAGAGATGCAATATTCATGTAACGAGCACAAGATGGAGATGAAATATCATCTAGTATTCTTTCATCGGCCACATTCAAGTCAATATCTAATGGCAGTCGACTCTGCTTTCCCGCGGCAGTATCAGGATTAGGGGTGGTTAGTGTAACAAGAGGAGTTTCCATAACTTTCCTGGGCTCGGCTGGCCGGAATGCACTAGTAGCAGCTGACCCTTTCCAACCAAGTTCCCCTTTACTTCTCAATAAATTCTCAGGCAGCATAAAGGGGCCCTTTGCAGCAGCAGCCACAGTGATTGATGCAGGAATACTATAAGACAAAGATGAAGCAGAAAATGGTACAGGACTGATTAATCGAACAGAAGGTGCACTCCCAGATGTGGCAATGCTGTTTAACTCACAACGCTTTCCCTCATCAGCACCGAACCCCTCATTTAAGTCAAATTCAACCTTTGCATCTGCATCTGACACAGCAGCAGCAGCAGACATGGAAGAAGCGTCTGCTGTGGTAGAGGTGCACTCCTCAGCCTCTTCTGCTTCAATGGCATTCAGTTTTGATCCTTTAGAATCCAGTTTCTTATCCATTTCTTGTGAATGAAAGCTAGATGAAGCTTTGTGAAGCCTCTGTCCAGCATCTTGGTCATGAACCTCTTTTATATCTGAATTTTCCTCCACACGTTCAGCAGCAAAATCAGTTGCACTAGAACACAAACCACTTTTCGCAGGCATAGCCAAGACAACATGTTCACACTCAGTTCTTAGCATTTTATCCTCATTAGCATGGTTCTCGGCAGCAATATCGCCATTTTTTCCATGCTCTCGTTCATTGAAATCTTCAGGAACTTTATCAACACCGCGAGAAAGGAGTACATCATCATCTGTTCCTCTAGCTGAATCGGATTGTCTGTGAACAGTGGGAGAATTTTGAGTCATCAGTCTGTCAACTCCTGACCGTTCAGCCCTGCAATCACCATTTACATCCACTTCCACAGACGTGTGTAACAATTTGTCAATTGCTTCCGCCTCAACTCCAGCAACACTACTTATCTCCATACCAAGAGTTTCACCAGCATTCACTCCTCTCACAACCTCTTCCCGGGGGTGCTTACTACAGTTACCATCCCTAGCTTCTTGCAATTTAGGAACTGCACGCAGTGAAGCAGGAACAGGCTTTTCAAATGATATTCCTTTTCTTTCTAATCCAGTTTGAATAGTTTCTGTAACCTGTTGCAAATCCTTACTATGAGCATTAACAGGCTTATCTGGCTCACCTACAGCCTTTCCTTCAGATGCCGGACAATCAAAATCATTACCATTATTCATCTCACCAGATATAGAACCATGTTTTTTATTTTCAGCATCAAGACCATTATTTGAGTGGCATTCATCCCGCACAATATTTTCTTCAGAGGACTTAACTGCAGCGTTACCTGTGCACAACTGTTCAACAGCAGCAGTTTTTCGTTCTGGAGACTCAGTTGGAGTTGATAATTCAGATTTCAACATCTCTCCAGCAGCCACACTAGCAAGAAGATTCATTCCAACATCATCAGCTTCAGAGTACTTAACACCTTCAATTAAAGCATTTATGGAACTGTAAGAAGCATCCTGCAAATTCCCAGCTTTTTGTCCATTACCAGATGACAAGGAAGCAATTTTTGATACATCCTCTGTTTTCTTACAATCATTGCCAGTCCTACAGTGCTCTTCATCAGTAACTGCAGCAGGGGATCCGTCGCCTTCATCAGAGCCAGTCAATACATCTTTAAAATCATTACTCTGCCAAGATTCTGTGTTAACATCAGAGCCAATATTGGCTCGATCAAAGTCACTCTTTTCCTTTAAACCGTGATCAAACTGATCATGCTGCTCTGAAAGAACAGGAGAAGCAACTCTACTATTCATGATTGTAGGTTCATCAAAAGAACCAGCACTGGCCCTTTGAGCAGGACTTCTACCTTGGTTTGGAATTTTAACAATTAGCTTGGGAGTATTCCCTTCATGAGAAATTTTATCAAGTGCTTTTTCAATTAATCCAGATTGAGATTTTCTCTCTGAAGTTAAACTTTTGTGCAAGGAGGACTTCCTACTTGACCGACTTTCCCTTTGCCCTTTGGATGAAGTTGAACCTAGGAGTCCATTGATAGATTTCCGATGCCGTGAAGAGCCGCCTGATAACTTATTTGCACTCATTGCAGTAGAGCTTCTGGCATCCTCCTTTCCTGAAAGACCCCCAGTTCTTGCATGGTCACTAGAACAAGATTGACTGTTGTTGAAAGATTGACTGTTGTTGTGAGATTGACTAGAACTACTACTTTTCTCATCCTTTGCATTGGCGATAGGAATGTCGGAACTGCCATTGACAGCGGCAACCTGGGGCTGTCCATCTTTTAAGTTCGTAATTGCAGATACAGGCGAAGGCACTGGTTTTGCATGTCCTGGAAATGCAGATGTTGATGCAGATTTAGGTGTGTTCTCACCCTGGACAATCTTCAAGGAAGAAGTTTTAGATGTAGAAATCTGTGTAACTGAACTCTTCATGGCAACATCAGATGACACACCTGAATGTCTATTCCCACCTTGACCAACATCAGCAACCCGTGACTTGGCAGGACAGGGGGAACTGGGACCAGAACCAGACTTTCCATCCTTTATGTTCATTTCAGCTTCAACGCGTTTCTTCCATGTGTCAACTAAACCTCTAGCTTTCCTCTGAATTTCAAAGTTTTTATGGGTTCGCAAATGATTCACAGATTTACCGATGTTGCACATCTTAAGAGCCTGTAGATTGACCGGGACCTTATCAAGTGCCCGAAGTAATACTGTGAGAAATTCCTCAACAGATTTATCACCATCCCTAGACCCAGTACCATCACCGTTCTTTCCTTTATGGACCTCTTGGAGCCATTCATCAAATACAGGTAAACCCCTCTGCTGCACAAACTGACTAAGACAATCAAGTCTATTTGTTGCTGCAATAACTGCTGCAAGCAATGACCGGCTAGCTAAATCTATCTTCTTTTCATTTCTATCACGAACTATCAGCTGCACAAACTTTTCGACTCCTTCAGCATCAACAAGCCCTCCCTTTTCTGTAATTTTGGATATCTCTGTCTTCAAAATGTTATCATGCCTAAAATTACTAGAATGTCCATCCTCAACTTTTATTGAACGTTCTCGCTTGATGGGCTCAGAGCCCTGCTCTACCCTATCCCTTTTCCTCCCCTTAACATGAGAAGGAAAGGAAGAAGTACTGTTCTGCACACTATCTGAAACTGACTTCGCCTGTGATGTTGATGTTGGGCTACTCATTGGCTTAGGAGACCGACCACCTGGCTGGATTGTTGCATTCATTTCTACACAAGTCTTATATACTAACTTATGTACTTGGCATTCCTGGGATGTTGGAAAAATAAGAGGTGAAAATATAAGGCACTATAAAAAGATCATTACAGGCAACAACATAAGACATCCATTACTTACATTAAGATACTCTTGATCATCTAGCCATCGTAAACACTTATTCGATGTGTCATAAACCCTCCTACACACAAATGATGAAATCCCTGCTGGAAGTTTGACGTCTTTAGGAAGGAATGCAACTTTACAGGGATGGATTAGCAATTCAGCATCAATCTCACTCTTATGAAGGGAGTAGAAAACCTCGTTGGGAGCAGCCTCCAAGGGCTCTGCTTTGCTGAGTTTTACTTCAATAGACCGATAAAGCCAATTAACACTTAACTTCAATTTACTTTCTTTACCAAGTGACAAACTCCGAATTACTCCAATAAAAGGTGGGCGATCTTGTGATGATTTGAAGAGAGCACAGTCACCAACACTAATTATTCGACCGTCCTACATTTGAAAAGAAAGAAATTCTGTGTAAATCATTACAGTTCAATTAACAGAGTAACTCTGTAGTTTACATTACAAATAACAAACATTAAACATTCCCATTTATGCTTTTGACAGCTATTCTACAGCTAAACCCTTCAAAGCAATATTCTACGGCACATTCTTCTTTGGCAATAGAAGAAAAATAGTTCATTAACGAAACAAGAAAATCACAATTAAGTAAAACCTGTATTTAGACTTGAAATAAATTTGTAGAAAGTGGTACAAACAAGTTCCACACATTACCAAAAGAGAGAAAGTAATCAATGCTAAAATGTTCACATGACAACTCTTTAGAGCACCAAAAGCAGAGTAAAATTAAAAAGCAATAAAAGCAAAATCGAATAATAATAGTAATGATATAACAAGAATATAATTACCATTTACCATCTACGCACTCCCATAAAATTAGTTATTTTAACACAGATTATCATGCAACCAAGTTTGACTTCTCTAAATGAAGTGATAAACATGCATAAAATAAAATTACAAAATCATAACCATTTATTAGAAAATAGATGCTTGAGATTAAGATGAAATACATGCACATACAATAACACATTTTGAAGTTTTAGAATCCAACTCTATTGATTTTTCAATCTATGTTAATAATAACATACTTTCTCTTTTACAGTGCAACCTTCATATTAGAGAAACCCCGGAAAAAAAAATTACTCCCTCCATTCAAAACGATCATTTTTAAAGCTTTTCCACAATGAATGATTAAGAAAACTATCAAATACCTACAACTTCTGAGAAGTATAACTACATATTATTGTATCCCCTTTCAATTCAATTTGGATGGTTAGAAAATTACAAGCCCCCTCTACTAAGTATTGGGGATCCAAGTTCAGTGATCAAATCAAGTGAGTATTGCAAAACTCCTCCGGTCATTTAATCCTTGTTCTGATTTCACCTATAGAGGTCGAAACTCACACCCTCTTCAATCCCAATTCACCTTTTAGATTCCCAGACACTATTTCCATTCCTTATGGTCAAGCCCTTAACTTTGTCAATGCTCTCTCTAATTCTACATAGTGGAAATATCAAAAGAATGTTTAAAAAATGAAAGAAGATAAAAGTAATGCTTTCTTGACTTTCTAAGTCCTACATAAATTGAAACTAACTAAGACTTCTAACATGACAATTCATTTGAAATAGATGGAGTACTAAAAAGTGAACTCATGCACAAAATCCTATGTACAGACAACAATCTTGTTAATAAGACATTGGGGCGATATAAGCTTGTAGAAATTAGTATTTAACTCAATAAGCATTAAACTCGGTGATTGACGATATAAGCGTGTAGAAATTAGTATTTAACTAAATAAGCATTAAACTAGGTGATTCCATACTCAGTGACAAAATACATTAAATGTTACAAAATCTACATGCATTGAAAAGTATGGAAATAAAAAGAAACATTTGCCCTGTCTATAATGTTAATTGGTTAAGATAGTGTACTTTCCGTACATCCACGGCACAGCCAACACGTACAAATGCTAAGTTTTGCAAGAAACAACAAGTTGCTATTTCTCCACAAATCCATCCATGTAATGCTCGAGCAAAGTGTAACGGACACAGACTACACAATATAATCCCCCCGCCCCCCAACTCACATAAATTTTAATAATTGTAATCAATTCGGCCAATGTAATACCTAAGTAAAACCACTTAAGATGACAAAGTTCTGGCGTCACGCCACAACAAACTATCCATAGCTGTTATTTCCATTCACAGGACTAGAACTTGAGAATAATCAAGTGGGAAAATAAGCTCCTTGTCACTAATATTACCTCCCTTCTACAATACGATGGTTCTTTAAGGTATTTTCACTAAAATAAAAGAAATTGAATAAGCTAATTTGGAGTACATTTTTACAAACTTATCTTGATTACAGATTTGGTAACTAACAAATGTTATCATAACTGTGTAGCCTGTTGAATTGGATCACAACAAAAGTCATAACTATATAGCTTATTGAATTGGATCACAACAAAAGTCATAACTATATAGCCTATTGAACAGAATATAATAAATGTACACTTCATTCTTATAGAATCCCAAATTTACCTTTAAACCACAGTAGAACACTTGTCTTAAAAAAAAATCCAACAAAAAAAAGAAATAAAAAGCTTCAAATAGAATCTTAACATCAATACCTTACTGAACGACTTAGCAGGCCACGAAGACAAAGATAGAGAAGAAACATCCACTTTAAGAGACGATTCGCCACGTTTGAGGGATTTCAACATGTGCCAGGTGTTTTTCCTCTCTTCACTACAAATACTTCGTTAAATTACACAGCAAATAAGATCTTAAAATCCATGTGTTACGCCTTCGAGAAACCCTAGATCCACCGAAAACCCTAAATTTAAAATCACACCGAAATAACTATGAATTCGCTTATTCAAAATACGAGCACGGTTGAGATTTGACTGCAGCGCGATAATCGGATCCACGCGAGAGGATGAAGATGAATTTGGGAACCGCTTTACGATGAAGAACGAAAGAGCCTGCGAGAATCTAGAGAGAGAAACTATAGAGAGAGGGGTAAGAAAGAGAGAGAGTGACTAAAGGGAAAGGATGAGCTTGGCAGTACTTGGGTTCGGGTAGTGTAGGACGGGCAGATCGGGCAGTCTGGTCAGGGAGAATGATAACGTCACGGGGAGGTGATGAGGCAACGTGTGGAGAATGTGACTGCAGATTGGGAACTGAGTCATCGACATTGACTGGTCCATTTCCACCTTGTTAGTAATTGACTTTCATTTTTTAATTCTTTTTCTCTCTCACACATTTAACCTTCATTTGTTTTTTTTTTTTCTCTCCAATTTCTTTATTAATAATGTATCCATTTCTTTTATTGAGCTAATTAGTGAATATTTTTTATAAAGTTTTTGTACGTGTTCTATTAGTATGTACACGCATAAAATTTTAAAATATTAGTTTTTTATTTAAATTTGATAACATTTTATAATATGTAGTGATGTCATATAATATATTGATTTTTTATCTCTTATTAATTTGGTTGTATATGTGTGTTTTAGGGAGTTTGCGAGAGTCGGTAACAATGAAACTAATGCTTCAACATTATAAGAGAGACACCATATTTCAACCAAAATTTTAAGGTGTTATGTAAATTGATTCTCTCTTATAAATTTAATATTTCACTCATTCATGGGTAATGTGAGACTTTAACCACTCATACTTGTAAATATACATGTTAAGAAGTCCTACATTGCTTAGTTTTGTGAATGAAGAGAGAGTCCAAAGTTATATATATGATACAAGTTCTTTGAAGTCTCACATCGCTTAATTTTGTGAAGGAAGAGAGAGTTTATACCATATACAGGATTTGAGTTATTCATTCCAAGATGCAATAGTCAGAAGCACTTTAAACTTATATTTGTATTTTTTGCTCTATTTAAATATTTGTTTTAGAGGGTGTGGGTGTACTGAGGTCCTGAGTTAGTTAAAGGTATATTATGTGTTGCGACAGTTTTCATATAGTGTTGTTTTCAAGTTGTCTATGGACAACGGTCGTGGTTTTTTCTCCGATTTTGGAGTTTCCAAGTTATATTTTTGTGTTGAGATTGTGTTCCTTTTTTTCTTTATGTTTTGTTTGTTTTTTACACACACACACACAGATATATATATATATATATATATATATATATATATATATATATATATATATATATATATATATATATATATATATATATATATATATATATATATATATATATATATATATATATATATATATGTGTGTGTGTGTGTGTGAGAGAGAGAGAAAGAGTATATTTAGCTTTTAATTTCTTTGAAATAAAATATGTTTAATAAATTTTAAATATCACTAATTGTCTTTTGCATCATTAAATTGTTGTGGAGAACACTTTACTAAAAAATATTGAAAGTGAATACTTATCATTTTATTTTTATTTTTGATAATCGTGTTCAAGTGATATGTTTTAAGAAAACATATACGAAAAACATCATAAAAGACATACATGTGTTAGCGCAATTAAAAAAGAAAACAGACGAGCACGAGTGCCCGTGTGGACGCTAGTAGTTTGATAAAGGAATGTTTTAATTGTCCCTCCAGGACCATCAACAACAACAAAATTGACGGCGTTCATAATTGTATGGTAAGTAGTTATCTGGTCATTACTTAACTTTGCAACATATTGAATGTCTTCATTTGGAATTTGGACTGCTAACTCTTCCCGAATAATTATTGACACTCCCACGACTTCAATTGTTTCTATAGTGTCGCTACTGCGAAAATCGGCGCCGGCTGAACAGAAGAGTCGCCACCGTGCGTTATTTATCCCAAAGGAGGGAAAGGAAACGCTCGAAGTAAACCTCACGCAAAGACGGGAAAGGAATGGTCATCGCAACCAAATCCTGGATTCGGGAGTCGGTTACGCAAGGGGAAGGTATTAGCACCCCTCACGTCTGTCGTACTCGACGGGATCCACGCTTGTTTTCTAGTACGGATTGTTATTCTATCTATTCTACAGGTCTGGGGTTAAAAGAAAATAAAATGACTCGACAAAGTATCGCACTTTATGCCTACGTATTCCCGTCTGGAACGAGAAATCAGAGTCAACGTAGTTCGCCTGCCTACGGGAAAGGAGGGCAAGGTTGCTCGCTAGGATATCGCATCATATGCCTACGTACTTTCATACAGCATGAAAGATCAGAGCAAACGTAGTTCGGGCCACGGAAGACACAAGCTTGTCTGACTGTTTTTTATCTCCTTATGAAAAGGTTTTTCCTGATTAAGAGTCCAAGCGGACAAAAATGACACTTTGATGTTTGTTATCAGTCTTTTACGCAAGAACTGTCTTTTATGATTTTTGCAATCTCTGACGCACTAGAGACTATGATTTGAGGGTGACTACGTCGTATGTCACCCTAAGGGTGACACACTAAGCAATCAGGTTACTAAAGAGTGACCCTCCAGCAACCTTTCTCAAATAGCTTAAGGCTTGTAGCGTACGACATCGATTATCCTTATTACTGTGTTTTGAATTGTTCTGAGATAGAAGAGAAAGAAGTCTAAAAAATCCTAGGGTTTGAAAGGGAATCAAAACTACCCTAATGTTGTCATGCATAGATTAACACCTAATGTCTGTCATAATTCCCTCCTGCACAGAGGAAATCAGAGATCCTAAGGGATAAACGGAAAAGAAACAGCAGAAATACAATAAACAGTAAATATGCATGAGATGCACCAAAACAAACAAGGCAAGGGAGTCTCACTCAACCTCGAACCTAAGAAAGCAACGGGCAAAGTGAATCAAATTCACTTCAAGCCTAAAGGGCAAGCAGCACAAACCAACAGACAATACAGAGAAAAACAAAAGATACAGAGGAGGCAGCCCAAGCAGCAGCAACAAACTCCTACAACAAACAGCAACAACACGCTCTGAACAGCAAAGTTGAAATGACAGCAAAGGTCTTATCTTTGAGCTAGATTCCATCTTCAAGCTTCTTCAATCTTTACCTCCAAGCTTTAGCAAGCACACTCCAAGAAGAGATTTGTCATCAAGATCAAGTTGCAATGTTGGCATACTTGCTGAAAACCAAAGGAATTCAACAAGAACCAACATCGAAGTGGAAGTGTATCCTCAAAAGTTCTACTCTCTAGGGTATGCCCCACTTCCCTCCTAAGGAGAGATGGAACTTCCCTAAGAGGACTTTGCATCATAGGATAGAATAGAAGCAAACAATGCATTCTATGTTTGATGGAAGAAATGAACTAATTCTACAAAGCTCTCCCTAAAAGCCTAATTCTACCAACTCCTAAAACAAACTTAAAACAGAAAGAAAGCTCCACTCCAAGCCCAACTCTTCTAGCCAAAGCATCTTCATCATGTCCAGAAGCTCCTCTAAAAAGGAATCCAAAGTCTTCAAGCTCCAAGTCCACCAAACGCTCCAAACAAGGTAAAGCACTCAAGAGAGAACACCGAAAGCAACAATCATTTGCAAAACCCAAAAAAAATAGCAAACTAAATTGTAAAATTCTAATAAAATTCCTATGTGAACATGCATGTTTGAACATTCTAAAATTCCATAATCAGGACCTAAATCAATTTCTAGGTCATCTAAACAATTCCTAAATGAAATTTGGTCATGGGAAACCATTATTTGGGAAGGCTCTAAACTACACACCTAAAACAGAATCTAATCAATTTTAAAAATTCTAAGAAAATTCCAGGGGAAACCTATGTATGTCCTCTAAATCATATCGAAAGAATCAGCTCAAAAGCATAAAGCATCAAAGAGGACAAAATTAAACAAACAGCAATATCAATTATGCATAACAATGGATATTAGCACAAAAGAAAATTCGTAACTAATTCAAATAAAATCCTAAAAATGAAAACTCAACTCCTACAGTTTCTTAAGACAATCAATATCTACAGAAAAAATTTCATAATTTTTTGATCATTTTTACTATTTTTAACGCAATTAAACCAAACAGCTATTAAAACAAAAAAAAAAGAACGAAAATGAATTAAACTAAGTTAATGTGCATTGGGCCAAGGGTGCGAACAACAGAATTCCAAAGCAATGTCCGTGTGGGCCTCGCAAGTGGGGGTGGGAACAGTATCCGCGCGGTACTGTAGCTGTTCCGGCGGTGACATTTTTTCGGTAACTTCCGAGCAACATAACTCCATCGATTCTTAACCGTTTCGCACGAAATTTTAGTCAAACTTGAAGGGAAAAAATCAAGGATTCCAAATATGCTCTTAGATTCCATCAAAACTCCATGATCAAAGAGATATATCATCATCAAGAAAACATACTCATCCAAAAAAGTCTCTAATCCTTAATTTCTTGATCCTAATTTCATCTATACATTTTCCAGATCCTAACCACATGAATAATCTAATCTAATTCGTCCTAAAACCATAGAAAAAAGTGAATTTCACATACCGGCTTCGGAGCGTCAAAACGGAGTAGTTGGAGCTCGTTTTTTCTTGCCAAAAAGTGCGGAAAACCTTTGTTGAAGTTTGTTGGAGAAGATTAAATTCTTGATAAATTTTTCTCTTCCAAACTCCAATGTCAATCTATGGTTTTTGCACAAATGAATCACCAACTCTTGCTTTGAACCTCTTCACAAGTATATATAGAATGTATTTGAAGACCCTAGAAAGTTCTAGATTGATCCTATAGAATATATTTGAAGACCCTAGAAAGTTCTAAATTGATCCAATGAGAAAATCACCTTCTCATGTCA